TGGTTTTCAAGGTTTAAGGTTAATAGTAACTTAATTTTTTTTTATTAGGTTAATTTGTTTACTTTATTGAAATTACTGAAATTTTTCTTTTTATAAATTTTTATTGTAAGGAAAAAAATTTGAGCAGGATAAAGCTAATGATAATATTGCAATGAAGGTTTGGGAGAATCATGTCGCAACTAGATAACATCAAAATCAGGATATTTTTTTTATTTCAAATTTTAAAATTTTATTTGTCATTTACTTATAGATAATTCATTTGTACTATATAGGTTGCATGATTTTTTATATAAGATGCAAAAAAATTCTAAAAAATATATTAAAGAAAGCAATCTACCAAGTTGGAATAACAAGATGGTTTTGAAGGAATTAAGCTTGTCACACATCTTAGAGACTATATAAACAAAATACATTTAGTAGGTGATGTTTATGCATTTCACGGGACAGTCACAGTCCGGTATGGGAAACCAAAGCAGGCAAATGTAATGTTTTGTTACCACATAATCAACGGCATCGTTCTATTCGTTTCGCATGCAAAGTAGATGATAAGATTTTTTTTAATTACATCTATTGTTTTAATTTATTTTTTTTATAAATATATTTAACTTGTAATATTTTTATCTTGCAAGCTACGATTCTTGGATGCAAACCAAGCCTACTAAAGCTTTTCATGAAAACGCACACACAGAGTGATGATTGCCAAAAAAATATACAACAGTATGTAGATAGTTGAGTTTAACACTTTGTACTATGTTGGTTTTTAACCATTTTTTTAAAGTTATTATTTACTTGAATTGAATGATTTTTTTTTTATATATATTTCCAAGACATATATAACAGTTGGTTGAAGGAGAGATATGAGGACGATCATTCGACCCACCCAGATATCGATTTGAATTTAAGGTTGGAAGCAAGATCATCGAGTGTATAGACTCTCTAACACTATGACTAAGAATTGTGGACGACCTATAGTGTTTTGACCATTAGATGCTTGCAATCGGTCCTAAACACTCAATTTCTAGAATACAAGAACGTACAACTCATCTCAATGAAAAATATGTATGACTCTTTGTAAATTTTGAAGAACTCCATTGAGTGGTAATGAAAATAAGATCACATATGGATGGTACATGTACACTCCCCTTATTAGCTCCATAGTCTTAAGGGCGAACAACCTCTTCCTTCTTCACCGCCATTTATATTCTAGTTTTATTGTATTTCACATGTTTAATAATTTTAAAAAAAATAATATTTCATTAAATTTATAGAACTTCAAGTTTACAAACATTAAGGCTGCCTAAATAATAATATCGATATTTAAATCATCGATAAAAATTTCATTGTTTCAATAAAGCTAAGTTTCCAAACATCCTAAATGAAATTCACAAGTTGATACGTGGTTTTCAAGGTTTAAGGTTAATAGTAACTTAATTTTTTTTTTATGTTAATTTGTTTACTTTATTGAAATTACTGAAATTTTTCTTTTTATAAATTTTTACTGCAAGGAAAAAAATTTGAGCAGGATAAAGCTAATGATAATATTGCAATGAAGGTTTGGGAAAATCATGTCGCAACTAGATAACATCAAAATCAGGATATTTTTTTATTTAAAATTTTAAAATTTTATTTGTCATTTACTTATAGATAATTCGTTTGTACTATATAAGTTGCATGATTTTTTATATAAGACGCAAAAAAAATCTAAAAAATATATTAAAGAAAGCAATCTACCAAGTTGGAATAACAAGATGGTTTTGAAGGAATTCAGGTCGTCAAACATCTCAGAGACTATATAAACAAAATACATTTAGTAGGTGATGTCTATGCATTTCACGGGACAATCACAGTCCAGTATGGGGAACCAAAGCAGGCAAATGTAATGTTTTGTTACAACATACATCAGCAACATCATTCTATTCATTTCACATGCAAAGTAGATGATAAGATTATTTTTTAATTACATCTATTGTTTTAATTTGTTTTTTTATAAATATATTTAACTTGTAATATTTTTATCTTGCAAGCTACAATTCTTGGATGCAAGCCAAGCCTACTAAAGCTTTTTATGAAAACACACACACAGAGTAATGACCGCTAAAAAAATATACGACAGTATGTAGATAGTCGAGTTTAACACTTTGTGCTATGTTGGTTTTTAACCATTTTTTTAAAGTTATTATTTACTTGAATTTGATGATTTTTTTTTTATATTTCCAAGACATATATAACAGTTGGTTGAAGGAGAGATACGAGGACGATCATTCGACCCACCCAGATATCGATTCAGATTTAAGGTTGGAAGTAAGATCATCGAGTGTATAAACTCTCTAACACTATGAGTAAGAATTGTGGACGACCTATAGTGTTTTGACTATTAGATGCTTGCAATCGGTCCTAAACACTCAATTTCTAGAATACAAGAACGTACAACTCATCTCAATGAAAAATATGTATGACTCTTTGTAAATTTTGAAGAACTCCATTGAGTGGTAATGAAGATAAGATCACATATGGATGGTACATGTACACTCCCTTATTAGCTCCACAGTCCCAAGGACAACCAACCTCTTCCTCCTTCATCGCCATTTATATTCTAGTTTTATTGTATTTGAATTTATAAATATTTAAATTTATAATAAATATTTGATTTTTATATTAAGATAATTTACTTTTAAACAATTTATATTAATTTAATTTTTAATTATTTTCTATTTCTTTTTAATATATATATCTATATATATATATATATATATTTAATATTTTTAAATTATTATTGACTAGGTTAACAACAGATTTATTTTGTTAGTATATTTTATAGAATTAGAAAAGAATTATAATAAATATCAATGCTACTATTAACTCACTGACAGAATCAGTTCGTTAGTATATTCTAGAGAGTTGGAAAAAAATTATTGTAAATATAACTACAACTATTAACTCTCTAAAGAAATTGTATACGGTTATTCTATTGGTGATATATTGAATAGTACCAATAAAATGAAGTAGATAATTTTTTTTGGTGGTCATAATCCATCTATAAATCCATTTGTAAATTTATTAACAACGAACTTACTAACAGACCATAAATTACTAACAAGTATTGTTTTAATACATATTTTTTATTCATAATCTGGTTGATAAAATAATTACAAATAGACTGTTAATGTAAATATCAACAAAAATTATTGTAAGCAAAACTGTTAAATTTAATAGTGTTTATATGTTTTTATTTCTATGAAAACAATAACATTTATACGAGTATAATTTTTTTATTAAAAAGTTAAAGTTTGATGCATACACATAAGTTGTTGTACTTATTTACATGGGGTTTTCACCATGATATACGAACGTCACATTATTTTACAATAATGCATGGAACAACGTGTCTTTAATATGAAAAAGATTTTTTTGCTTCTTCAAGAAATCGTCAAGACACAATTGTGTTGAACAACCAGTTTTTTTTAATGATTTTTAAAAACTTTTCTAGTTAAAACTCACTTCTTCGTTTATATATTTTTTTTTATAAGAACATATATTGTTTATTCATAAAATAATTTTTTTTTAATAAAACATATCATGATTTGAAAAGCAAGTTTTCAAAAAATAAAAATATACCTTGATAATTTTTATACAACTATATACAAAAATAAAGGAATAATTAATTTAAGAAAATTATATAAGAACCTCTCAATAAAAGCAATAGATATTTTATTTTTATTAAATGTTTTAGAGAAATGTTTTAAAGAAAATTATGCACATTAGGTTTATATTCATAAAGTAATTGCTAACATCACCGTTAAAAACCTCTCATCTTACTTGAAAATTATGGCATCATTATATGATTTTTGAATCATTGTGATTGTTTTATTTTAGAATATTAAAAAAATAAAAAATAAAAACAAATTATAGAAGGGACATTAATAGAGCCAAATTCAAGATCACACAAGGCCTTTGAAAAAATGTTCAAGTGTGCAGGCTTAGCCTTTAAAATAAACCCTAGCTACATTATGTGTTATCTAACGTAATAAATAACGGTCATCTCTAGTAATTGAAAAATTAGATATGTAGATCATGAAAACCCAAATTAAAAAAATAAAGCAAATACTCAAACCATAAACAATTTAGGGATGGGTAAGGTGACTGAATTACCTAATATTTGAGGTTAATTTCTAGTCAGAAATCCCAGTACTTCCTTGCAATTAAAAAAAAAAATTACTGCAATGAATTATTTTGACTTTACAAAACAAGGTCAATTTTTTGTGCTGGTGTTGCTGTGACATAGAAATCAAAGACAGTCTTTAATGTGTATAAGGGAATATTTTTAGGATTAATTCATTTGCTGCCGCGAGTCAAACTAATTTCTTATTTAAAGCGCGGATAGCTTTTTATTATGTCATTAAATATGATTTAATGGATAAATCTTGAAACTTCAGAACATATCTGCTTAATTCCAGAACATATCTGCTTAATTCTAATTTTCAATTATTTAAGAGTGGGTGTTGAATATTTTTAAAATATTTTTTATTTAAAAAGACTAAAAAAAAATAGTTTTACTTTATAAAATTTATTCTTAAAATCAACCAATCAAAATAATTTCAAAAACATAAAAAATAATTAATACTAATCGTCTCATGGATCTATTTTTAAAATTTGCCATGGCATGATCGGATGTGAGGGCTTTATTTTAAAAAAAAAATTTTTTAGTAAAAATAACAACGAGTCAATATTAAATTATGTTTTATAAAAATATATTAAAATAATATATTTTTTATTTTTTTAAATATTTTTAATAATAAAATATTAAAACAATTTAAAAATACCAAAAATAATAATTTAAAACTAGAAATTAGTTCAAAAACAACCACCATTACCATCCAATTTTTTTTTTCTTATTACAAGCAAACAAATAGAAAATTCACCGAATAATTATATTTACTTCTTTTTTATTAATATAAAATTACAAGCAGGCCCATTTGTTAGATGAAGACACGTTAGGAAAAACTGAAGACATTTCGGTATTGTGATCGAGACTTGGTTGTCTGGTCTTTCCAGGTTATCTCTTTTCTTGCAACAAATCAGCAGTAATTTTTTTGGTTTCTGTTCCAGTCAAAAACCTGTTCTCAGATTGACATTTATACAAACACACCTTAGGAACACAATTCTCTCTTTTTCATTAAATTACGTTCTTTACCTTTTCACACCTCTCACGTTCCTCTTAACCTTACTCAAGGCAAGATTGCGACCTTTTCTCTTATTTCACTTGTCGCAATACATTTGTCTGAACTTAGAAACTCACTATACATTAATAATGGTTACGCAAACTGTTAGGACTTCAATTTTGAGCTATAAATCCAATGGGCCGCAGGTGTTTGCTTATTTGCCGGTGAGAAGAAAATGGCAAAGAGAAACTTTGTTGGGTTGGTTGCAGAATAGATTGATGACTACAAGTAAGCGAGTGCAGGATAGAAGCACCATGAAAAGGGTGCAGGATCTTGAAATAGTGACAGAGAAATGGAAAATCGTATCAAAAGTGAAGGCAGTGATGGAGATTTTAAATGAGGAGCCAGAGACGATAATCCCAGCAAGGAACCTTGAACGACACAGGATTAAAATCAATCTGCCTAAACCCCATAAAATTTCGGACTTCCTTCGAAAATCGCCAAAGCTTTTTGAGTTGTACAAGGATCAAAGGGGAGTGCTATGGTGCGGAATGACAAAAGAAGCTGAGGATTTAGTAGAAGAAGAGGGAAGATTAATCGAGGAGCATTCAGATAAAGTCGCAGAATATGTGACGAGATGTTTAATGATGTCTGTTGATAGGCGGCTTCGGTTGGATAAAATAGCAAATTTTAGGAGAGATTTTGGTTTGCCTGTTGATTTTAGGGATAAATGGGTGCATAGGTATCCAGAACTGTTTAAGGTTGTTAAGATGGTTGATGAAGTGAGTTATTTGGAGCTTGTGTCTTGGAATCCTGATTGGGCTATCACACAGTTAGAGAAGAGAGTATTAGGGGTGAATGAAAGCAGTAATCATCAGCCGGGAATGCTGTCATTGTCATTTCCTTTGAGATTTCCTTCTAATTACAAGAAGGTGTATAGGCATCGAGAGAAAATAGACCATTTTCAGAAAAGGTCTTATTTGTCACCATATGCAGATGCCAAGGGACTTACTGCTGGGTCGTTAGAATTTGATAAGAGGGCTGTTGCCATTATGCATGAGTTGCTTAGCTTTACCCTTGAGAAGAGATTGGTGACTGATCACCTTACGCATTTTCGGAAGGAATTTGTGATGCCACAGAAGTTGATGAGACTTCTTTTAAAGCATATGGGGATTTTCTATGTGTCTGAGAGGGGGAAGAGATTTAGCGTATTTTTGACTGAAGCTTATGAAGGTCAAGAACTGATTGAAAAATGCCCTCTGGTTGTTTGGAAGGAAAAACTCCTGAGTCTTGTTGGTTACAGAGAGAAGAAGAAGAAGATTTTAACATTTGGCGATTTATCGGACTTGGAGGATAGTGGTTTGATTGAGAGTAGTTCTGAACACGAAAATATAAGTATGCATTTTGGGCATGAAGACGCGATGGTCGGTGTGGAAGATGCTTTACTTGCAGACAATGATGAGATGAATATTGGAGAAATTGGCCTCGCAGGCTGGAACAGTGAAAAATCTTGAGGTTATAAATTTAAACCTTCGTAGGTTTTTTGGTTCACTTAATTCGACTCTGAGTCATTATATGTTTATTGATGGAGTTCGTTTTTCTGCTGTAGCTTATGAATGCAAAGCAGAGAGCTCTTCTTGTCATCTAGGCATTTTAATCCGGAAATTGCATACTGCCGCTGATCACTAGTCAAAATTTACCATTATTGCATTTTGAAAGACACAACAGCAATTCTACATATGAGGGGAAAAAACAGAGAAAAACGGAAGTTGTTGGCCCTTTGAATGCCTTGTATCAGATCATCAAAACTTGTCAGAAATAGGTGTAGTGACTACATATTTCAGAATTTGTTTTGCTATTTTTACTGATTAGTGTGATGTGCTGGCCTCTGAAATTATGCCATATAGACTGCAAAATAGATAATTAGCTTTCATTTTTCCTCATCAAATGAATGTGTAAATTTCGTAATGCTTAATGCTTAGAAATTAGAACAGTATGGTATTTCTAGAAGGCATGTGAGAGTTGCATTTTTTTGTTTATTTATTTTTTGGCTCAGTTTTGTTTTTCTTTAAGCAATATACTGATCCAATACCACAATATAATACAATGTTCAGTCACTTCCCAGTCTGCTTTTGCCCATGCTGCCCAATTTCGTAATGCAGGCACTTGGAAGGAAAGTGTGGTTGATGAGTTCTGGTGCTTTCACTGGATTTAGTGAAGCCCTAGCTGCTGGCTGACTTATTTGGAGACAGAAACAGTTACTGTAGTAACAAATGTTGGCATCTGTGTAGTAACACAAAGACCGTGCTAGGAAATTAGGGGCCAGACTTCAGAGTCGATCTGCAACTTTTGGGGTCCGTATAGTGTCATTGTGCCAAAATAAAACAAAAGGTCCACAATTCTGACTGAATTGGGACCTGTTTTTTGAATTGGCCTGTGGTATTGTAGCAAGACTCTCTCTGCTGTTTCTTGCCTTCTCAGTCGATAATCATGCTAATAATGTATATGCCTTGCAGTTAAGTAACTAGTTGTCATAATTTTGTTCATATATATAATACTTATTTATCTTTAATATTCATTAAATATTTAATTAATGAACCCAAAATAAAGATAGAGTTTTTAAAACAAAAATATTTTATAAAAAAATTTATAAAATTATTATAATTATAAGATTTTTATAGTATCAAAGCATTATTTCTATATGTTCCTAGTCAATACTCTATTAAAACTGGATATTAATTAGAGCTGTTGAGACTGATATATATTACATTTTAAAAAAAAAAATGCAGTTGTTTTAAGAAATAAAGGTAAGGAGGATACTTAGAACTAATATGCTGGTACTTTTCGTATAACATATACACTGAACTGACTTACATGTAAATTCTATATGTAAATTTTATATGAAGAAATCATATATATATATCTATTAAAATGCTTACACGATGGTTATGTAAATGATCCTTAAATTTGAAATTACTAAATTATAGAGAGTGTTATAGTTTTGATCATATTACACGTTGTTCTAATTAAAAGTAATAAATGAGTAGATATTGAGTATGACATGAACTATATGAAGGTATTTAATTAATCAAAAGAGGATTCATCACCCTAGGTGAATTGAAAAATATTTCATATATTCTTAAATAGTATTAATTGTAAATTCTTACACAATGTGAAATGAGATTTGAAAAAGAATTTTAAATCATATTCAAATAATCAATGATTAATATTAATATAATTTGACATAGTAGACACAATTCATATTATATGTCTAAATTGAAACATTGTTGATGAAAAAAATAATAATTACACTTTCTAGTCACTGGAAGGTAAAGTTAAATTACTTATGACTTTTCTAATGTTTAAGAGATAATGACAAGTTGTTAAACATTGTATTTAATATTCAAATATAAATCAATTAATTATTGAATTGATAATAAATTAATTTAATCTCATTTTATTTAGAATTGTGATTTATATCTTAGTCAACTTATTAGGGAACCTAATGGGTCACACACATAAGAACTATAAATCAGAAATTAAAAGTGACTTGATTGTAAATAAATTTTAAAAATTAAAAACTAGAAAGTAATAAATATAAGAGATTATAATTTTAGATCTAGGAATAATCAAGTAAATACTTGATTGAATATGTTTCTAAAATTAATTTTAAAAAAATATATGTGATATTATTTAAGGAAAAAATTGATAGTTTTTCATTTATAAGATTTTTAGAATGTAATACCTTATATTTTTTAAGTGGTGTAAGAGTAAGTAAATAATAATACATAAACATCTAAAATACAAAAGAAAAAAATTAACACTTTAAAATATAATAATCTCTCTCCCTTAAAAGATTTTAGGAGATTTATCTCTAATGGTTCGGATAAATTATTGTTAAAAATAAAATATTTGGATGACTTACACTTTATAATAGTCTAATTTTAAAATAAATATTTAAAGTTAAACATAACATTTAATGTTTAGATAATTTTTGTGTAGATCTGAAGAATTATAGATTTGTGTAGTAGGATTCTTGAAACTCCTAAAAGATTTTTAAATTTATAGTTCTCGTTACTGTATATATTTCAGGAAACAACACGTGCATCAAGAATCAGAACTTTGAGCTCAATGTTGTGATGTTGAAGTTCCAATCATCCATTAACGGCCTTTGATTGTGTTGAGTAATTTTGTATCAAGACAAAGAAACAGAAAAAATCAATCACCTGAGAGGCGTAAAAAACACTATATTATAAATATGGATATATACACTAAATCCATCAAGAAATTCGCCAAGTAGTTTACAAGGATGATCAATCCACAAACATTTTGGAGGGAGGTGTTTCTGACAGTCTTCCTTCTACTTCATTACAAACTACACTGAAAGGTGGTACCTTATATTTGGAGTTTGACATTTCTATATTAAATTTCCATTCAAACATATCTGTTCTGCATGGAAATTAATATTGGACAAAGTTATGGTTCTCTGCTTGCCGTTGCTAAATATAAATGAAAAGGAGTTAGTTACATAAAACACCAGAAAGGGTCCAGTGCCATTGCTATTGCCTGCTTATGATATCATCAACGATGATGAAAGAGATGCTCTTTCATCGTCAAAGATCGGATATAGATGCTCAACCGCTCTGGATAAAACGATCCACAAATCATGAAAGTGGCGGATTTCTTACATGGCCAACTATCCCTTCCGTTCACAAGAATTTACATAGATATTGCGGATGCTTTCTCATATCGGCCACAGCTTCAGTTGGATAGAAGTGCCCATCAGAACCTCGCCATGAAAAGCAAGCTGGGAACATTAGCATTCAAGTGGGGTAGCGTTTATCCATCTGCCGAGGCTTGAGATGAGACTAGGGGACGGCCCAGAGAGCTAGGCGCATTAATACTTGCTTCGGGGGAAAAAAAAAAAAAGAGCATCGCAGGACAGGTTGAAGGTCATAATCAGAATTAAGATATGTGATGCAATAACTAATAATCAATGCACAAATAAACGATCAACTAGCGTTTATTTAATAACTTCAACGTATCAATTTGTTCAGTCTAAAGGTCTGGATACTTCTTTCCTGGAAGAAGGATTGAGTTTGATTATTCAATTTTTGCTTTTGAAGAAAGAATTCCTATTCTAAAATTATTTTATTTTTCATGAAAAATCTCGAAGAATTAAAGTATTTAAAAGAAAATCGGACTTCTGTTATTAGTCCAGTTTTCAAACCAATAAGAGAAATTAAAATTGTTCTACTGCATCGAATTGAATTGTGTTGGTTTGGGTTTTCAATCCACAGACAAATACTGCATCTGATAACTTAAAATTAATATTGGAAGCTTGCCTTAAATGAATCTTTGACTATCCTAATATCATCAAGATATATATACATAAGATCGATCTTGATGCTCAACGGTCTGGATGTGATTGGAGTGCAACATGTGCTGATCACATTACGAGTCAAGACAAAAAGTCCTTCGGATTTTATAAGAGAAAAACACAAGACAGGTCCCAAAACATCCCATTCAGTAACATTACACTTATGAAGCCCAAGTGTAAGAGAAAAAAAACAGAAGAAGACAATTTGAATTCAGTAAATGAGAGAAAATATGTTATGAATTTAATTATAAAATATTATACCATGGTAGCTTTTAATGATTCTAAAATTTATAAACTTGAATGGATGATCTTTAAAAAATAAATTTAAAATTTAATTAATTAAAATATATCCCTTAAAATTAATAAATATATAAATATTGATTGCACAGAGTTACTTGGGTGATGATCTTTTGATAAAAGCTTTTAGAAGAACAGAATTGCATCCTAGATTTGACACAATGGTAGCAATGCTAGTAATAACACATTTCATATTTTGGTTGTCAACGATTAACAAGGATTTAATTTCATGCCAGCTACAAGGTTACTTCATTTTTATACAAGAATGTGATAGATCTCAGGGTCTAAAATTAATCGTGATGTACACAAACTGACCCGAACATCCACATTAATCTAAAAAAATATAATAAATATAATCTAAAGTGGACCGTACCCTTCCAACTGAATCTTAATCTCCTAATAAAACAAGATGTTGCGTTATAAGAAATTACTCCTACTTAGTTTTTGTACGATGGAAACTTTAAGTACGTAGAAATGATGAAATGTGTTGGTCCATTAATTGTTTTTCTTTGAGAACACCATCTTTTTATTTAAACCGGTTAAAATTTATTGATTTTTTTTGTATATTTTTTTAAATAATATTATTTTTATTTTATTAAAAAATAAAACTAATTAGAGAAACTTAAATTAATTAGGATCAACTCACTTGATTTATGACCCTGCAACTTACTTCAAGTTAATCCCAATCGGATTTAAAAAACTTCAATTCACTTGGTTATGTTAAAGGATAATAAAATTAAGAGGGAAAAAAAATTTAATTTCATAATTATTTTAAATAAAATAAATGTTAATAAAAAAAATATAAACTAAATTTGCAATATAAAAAAGTTGAAAGAGGATGGGATGAAATTTTAAAAAAATCTAATTTTATAAATTATTTTGAATAAAATAAATAATAAAAAAAATACCGACCAAAACTGATAAATAAAACAAAATTCATTTAAGAAAAAATGATACAAACCAAAACTGATAGATAAAACAAAATTCATTTAAGAAAAAATGATAAGAGAAAAAAATAATGATAAAATAATATAATCAAAATTGATATAAAAATCAAATCAAATTAAATTCTAAAAAAATAAAATAAAAATTAAGAAATTAAAAATTAAATTTAATATAATCAACAAATAATAAGATATTTTTTATTTTTTTATAATTTTTTTGAAAAGTACTTTTTATTCCAAACTGAAAATATTTTATTAAAAATAAAACTAAATTTTTTTATCAATTTTTTTTTTCTTCTAACCAAATTTTCCAACTATTAATATAGGAAAATCTGGATTTCATGAAACAAAATGATTCTTAGTGTTTGTTGCATAAACGTCTTTAAACACCCTTTTATTCCAACGCCCAACCAAAAGAAATCAAAGCATGAACAGCCTTGGTGACCACTTAAATATGATAGTTTAATTTAACTAGATATGTACGAGAGAGCA